GGGTAAATGAAGTGGTTTTGTTTAAAGTGCAAAAATCTATCCAGAAATTAACAAGCCTTCATGGATGTCAATCATGGGGCCTGATTGTAACAAGCAACGGCGCAAGAGGCAGTATATTTGGTGCTGATGATGATGCAGCAACTCTCCAATCAAGATATGCTATTATGAAAATTGTAAGCTTAGCAATAAGATCCAACATCTCCGGTGAAAGGATGCTTTTCCTGTTACAACTTATTTTTTGGGGCTTACCTGGAGGAAATGAACTACTTGAAAACAAAAACCATAGGTTACCCAAAAGGTATTCAATAGGAGATTATACCACTTAACAGTACAAGAAATTGATTCCTTTATTGATAACTAGCTAAACCTAGCCAGTAAGAGAGGTGTTTATGAGAGAGACAAGGAGATAAGGAAGGTATAGAGCTAGGTGGTGGAAAATACCAGCTAAAAGAAACCTGGATGTCTGTCTTTTAGAAAGGCATACATAATTACATTTCATTAATGCAGCCACTAGAATAGTAGAAGCAGAGAAAATGGTGACTGATAATGATACTCAAACGCTGGAAGTCCCACCAGCATCACAGCCACAGGCATTGGATGTGGTCTGAGCTGAAGGTGATGCAAAACCACCCATGCGCCTGAAGGCTGATGGTGTCAAAGGGGAATGAGGAATTCTTGGAGATAGGTCAACAAACTCTAATGCCTGTTGTCTCACTTCTACAGGGTAGTCCGCAACACATCCAATCCTTGGCCCCGCTCCGGTTGTCCACTTGAGTGAGAGCTGGTCTCCTAACTGGTATGATTTTGCTGCCTTCTTGGAGTTGATCCTTTGCAAAATAGCTTTTTTAGGCACCTCAGCCCTTGGGCTCTGAAGCCCCCCAGATAGAGTCCTTTTGTATTCAGTCTTGGTCTCTATTTTGTCTGTTTCCTGTGACTCTGTGGATATAGTCCTCTGTTCAGTTGGAATTTCAGGTTCATGAAGCTCTGAGAAGGTTGAAATTTCTGCTGCATTTTCACCTCCATTAGGCTTGCCATCAAAATAGCTATCAGAATCATCAGTTGCTTTGTTTACCTGAATCCCAATAGACAAATGTAAGCAATAAAATTTCAAATCTGAATATGCAACATTACACATGGGAACAGCAGAAGGAAATGGTTAAAAAATTTGACAAGTAATGTAGCCCAAGGTCCAAGGATAAACAGCCAACTCCTATGACAGAAAATTATACAGGGCAGTACAAAAACTTTCAAGAGAGCATGGTGAGATGAATGGAGGGATTACCTCGACCTCATTAAGGTTCACACCCTTCTCGTTGAGAAAGGATAGGAAACTGTCGAGGATGTCAACTGTTGGCTTGTAGTGTCCACTATATGCAGAGATGGACTGAAAGATCCAAAAAGAGAATCAAGAGTCACATCCAAACAGAGTGAGCACAAGAACTCAGGACTTAAAATGAGTGACATTATAAAACGAAGATGACAGTGACATTAACATCTTGATTAACACGTTTTTCATCTTAGTTTCATGCATGATCCTAGTCCTAAAACAATCTGAAAGAGAGAAAATGGTAGATTGATAAACAAGTATAAATTTATATCACAACCTAAATGGTTAAAGAATGAAACTGAACATCCTGTTGTAATGGGACTTACCTTGAGAATCCCATGCTCTGCTTCTAGTCTTCCTGCAGCTAAAGTAGCTCCCCCAGCCAAGAAGCTAGAATGATGAAACATCCCTTTCTTCTTCTGCTTGGTGTATAATGTGCATTGATTTCAGTTAAATGTTAAAGGAATCATTCAAACAGTTCCCTTCTCTCTGTTCAAACTTCAAATCCTTACCTGACCAGCATAGAGTTCACGCGAAGTGCTCAGAACAAAAATCCATTTTCCTCCTTTAGATCCATTGCTTGTATCAAGGAGGTCTCTAGTTTGTTTATGAATAATTTTCCCTTCAATGATATCATATTCATAATTTTCCCTCTCTTGCTGATTTTCCACACAGTAAAAAAGACAGAAAAAAGTAGAACCATATCAGGACAGTAAGAACTGGCACTAACAAAGTAATAAATAATCATATAAAGTGATCTTTAATCTATCACATTGAAACACATACAGGTCCCAGATACTTAATGCATTGTTGTCGAAGTGTTGATCTCGGACATTCATTCAGATCAACCTCTTTCCCATCTCCTATATCCAACCTGTTGAGAACACAAATTAAAGAAGCATCAGCAATTAACTGCTTTAAGACCCGTTAACACCAACTCCCTTTATCTCTAAGGGAAAAGAGTCTATGATAATTTTGTAATTTCAACCTTAGTTCTATTTTTCATGGCAGTATATTAATCTTCAGCAATAAACAACAACGATAAAAAATCATTTTCTGATTCAATTTTTTTTAAAGGCATTGTAACAAACAGGGGATTAACATACATACTTTATATTAAGAATGATAAATCCTTTGCCTGTGAAATAAAGGCTAAACACAATACTAAAATGCTGCTTAACATGCCTTTATATTTCATATCATCAAATCCAGATCCACTCTATCACTGCTAAGTTAGTGTAAGTAAACTTAAAATGTTAAATTAACTAAGCATATGAATCCGACGCTTCTCTTTTGCTTACCAGTAGAAAAAAGGCTGACCAGATTTAGATTCACACCACTGTTCGTAGTAAGTATGCAAATTATGCCCGTAACGGTGGCGTGGATCAATCTACAAGTCAAAATGACGGTAAAAATGGTGCAGATTTAATCAGTTACATTAACAATTTATATGTACAGAGAAAAATAATAGTAATAGTTCAAAGAAGAGAGTAATTACAGCCTCAATCCAATGCTGAAAAGCCAATTTTTGTGCTTTAGCGTCTATGGACAACCCCTTTCCCACCTGCCGAAGACTAATATGTCAACAATCCATTTATCCATGTATTTGAAAAAAAAAAAAAAAAATGAAGAGAGCTCAAACTCCATACCTTAGAAGCGTTCAACTTAATCCGACTCCACCTAGAAGCAGCTGTTTCAGGTTTCAGAAAATCAAAGAACGAAATTGTACTGTGATTCAGTCTGGCAAAATCTATCGCCTGCCACCTTTAATAAAAAAATTTTAAAAAAAAATTTCTCAAGAAATTATCTTAAAAGCGGAAAAAAGGGTAGAATAAATTTAAAATAAATTGGAAAAATAATGAGATTTCCATGGACCAAGGTCACCAACCATAGCTCTTCAGCAACCACAGCAGAATCCGCCAACCTGCGCCTGGTGCGGTAACTCCTGTAGACCTTCTGCAGCCTCACGGCGGCACTCGACTTGTCACCAGGCGACGGCGGGAGTCCCGATGCATCTCGATCATCTGTAAGCGTAGCTTCAACGCCGAGTACAGGCTCCGCCGGCATTTCGAAGCCATCGCAGGGCTGAGAAGCATCCGGTCCGCCAGTACTCGGACTATTCACCAGTGACGGATCATCCAGCCCGCAGGTCTTCGGACTATCCACCGGCAAAGGATCCTGAAAATCCGAGCTCCTAAGGCCATTGCGCTCAAGCTCCGACGGGGAGGGGATGGACATGGCGTAAAACGGAGAGTTATTTGACTGGCGATCAAAGTTGGAGAGGGTGGGAGTCTCAACGACCTCCATTACTACTGTTGGATGGGCTAAGTCAGAGGGGTCTCCTGAAAACAAACAAAAAGACGAAGACTTTCGCCAATTCTGGGAAATTGAAGATGCAGAGAAGTGGGGTTGAGGATGTATATATTAGCGTTTTTTTGTGTTTTCCCGGGAAACCTACTTGTCAATTTCTAATACCAGTTGGTAAGGGAGTTGAAGAATCACGCGCTCAGTTAGAGCGTGACGATCCAAAATAGCTTATAAAAACTTAAAAAGACTGTTGGCTTTTGATAGAAGACGAAGGGGAAGAGGGAAGGGGGAGGGAGAGGGAGAGAACGTGAGATATTTCTAAAGCGTTTTTTTAACTTCTGTCTCTTTTTTTTTTTTTTTTTTATAAGGGTAATAATTAGTAATTAGTAAGTTATGATTATGAGAAATTAGTAATTAGTAAGTTATGATTATGAGAAATTAGTAATTAAAGATTCATTTTTTAGATTTGATGAACAGCTCACCAATTTTAATGAAATCCGCAACCATCCAACTGCGCTTGGTGGAGTTATTAACTTCTGTTTTTTGTATACAATATAACCCGCATATCTATTGTAATTTTTAGTTTTTGACCAGGGTTTAATACAGTTTTAGAATATTGGAGTGTTAGTAAAAAATTATATAAAATATTTAAATTAGATAATTAATAAAATTAAATTAAAATTTTATTCTTAAAAGAAATTAGCAGTAAAAAAGGTGTTATAAATAACAAATTAGAAAATTTCTATGTGAAAATCTTTTTTCTTTCACTTCTTTTGTGTATTTTAATACACTGTTAATGGTAATTTTAATAAAGTGACATAACTGTTCATAATTTGAAACTCCAAGTTGAAAGTATTAAATTCGAGTCTTGTCAATTAGAGAAGGATTTGAAAATAAGGGAGAGTTATTTCTTTTTATATAATTTATAATCAAATGTACTAAACAAATACATTATTAATGGTATTTTTTATATTAATTAATATTAAAAAATAAAAATTAATATTTATTTAATCAAGGTCTAATTGAAATGATTTATATGTCACTTCAAGAAATAGGATTTTTAGTGACAGAAAATTGTAGCAATATTGAAATCAACACTATAATTCATTATATTTATGACAAAATTTAAAAATTAATCACAAATGCAAGTATATTTAATAATGATAAAAAAATTCATCGTTAAAAAGATATTTCATTATTGAAAAATAGTCACAAATAAAAAATAAGTTTGTAACAATAAAAATCATCACTATAACTCATTTCAATTAAGACAAATTTCAAATATTGATCACATATACTTTATACATTCAATGATAACCAAATAATTCATCACTAAAAATATATTTCATCACTAACAATTGTCACAAAAAAAATATATACTTGTGATGATAAAAATCATCACTACAATTCAATCTTATTTAAGTTTTTTCTAATCAATACATCATACATCGATAAAAAACACATAAGAGAATAAGGTTTCATACTATAAATATATCACACATTGATAAGAAATATTTAAAAAAATAAAATTTTGCACTATAAAATATGTGAAGCTCAATAAAACTTGAGCTTAGTTTAGGCTTGATTAATTTTAATCAGGCTGGATTAATTTTATCAAAATTGATTAGTGTTGAAATAATAATATTTTTTTATTAAACTTTTGTGATAAATTTATATATCAATTTTTTTGTGACATAATTTTTGTTACAATATTTGTGTTGTAATTATATAAATATCCTTTTGATTTAATATCAATTTTAATAATTAATAACTAAAATTTTTATCACAATTGCATTTGGGACTATTTTTTTGTCACTCAATTGTAACATTTGTGATGAAAATTATTGTAACAAAAAATATTTTTTTTTTTGTGATAACTAAATTTGTTACAAATAACTCATTAATAATGTAGGTTTTTTTCATCACTATAAAATTCTTTTCTGTGACAGATGTCAAATTCGTCACTAAGAGCATTAGTGACAAGGGTTTTATTAATGATTTAAATTTCATCACTAATTTTAGTTTGTAACGAAAAATAAAGGTTTAGTGACTAATTATTAGTCACTAAATATAAATTTTCTTGTAGTGTGTGATGCAAGACAAGTGAGGGGGTATGATGGGCTTGGGATTTAATAGTCGTTTTAGGGTAAATATATATTGTGAACATTATGTATGAATAGTAGAAGAGATTAAGAATATAGCTTAAAAGAGGGGAAAATAGAAAATAATGAGAAAAAAAACCTTAAGAGTCACATCTATGTTTCTTTAGGTATCACACCTAATGAGGACAAACTCTTAAAGCATCACACCTAAGACTAGTTGTATCACATAACCAAGATTGCATCACACAATCAAGAGCCATTCTTGAGACGCTATATGTATATTTATATAAAAAATACTAAGATTCCTCTAATTCTAATTAGAACTATAACTTGATATTTAAAATTTCTAATTCAACTAGGACTTAGACTCTTGATAAATAAAAATAGTAA